ATTGAGCTGTTTACTGGGCATGTATCTGCACAGACCAAAAGCAGTTGCAGCCTAATCGTGAAAACCATGCAGAGCAAACATATTCCTAGGAAACCAGCAAAATCCAACCTGCAGCATTAATCCCATGCCTAACCCCTAACAGTGTTTGGCTCCAGGATTCATGCTCTTTAAAAGAAAAAAAAAAAAAAGGCAATAAAAAGATTACCCAGAGGGAAGAGTTTGATACAATACAGGTGGCTCCAGTTTATTCCACCAGTTCTCAGTCTCCTTGAATCATGGTTCTTTTCCCAGGCTGGCTAACTTGTATCAAATACACAAGGGTCTGAGGAATATGACTCATGAGGAGCAGGTGAGGGAACTAGGACTGTTTAGTCTAGAGAAGAGAAGGCTGAGAGGACACCTCACTGTGCTCTATAACTACCTGAAAAGAGGTTGTAGTGAGGTGGGTGTTGATCTCTTCTCCCAGGTAACTAGCCATAGGACAAGAGGAAATGGGCTTAAGTTGTGCCAAGGGAGGTTTAGATTGCATATTAGCAAGAATTTCTTTCTAGAAAGGGTACTAAGGCATTGGAACAGGCTGCCCAGGGAGGTGGTGGAGTCACCAGCCCTGGAAGTGTTCAAAAAACATGTAGGCATGGCATGCTGGGACATGGTAGTGTTGGCTTGATGTTTGGACCTGATGATCTTAGAAGTCTTTTCCAACCTTAACAATTCAGCAATTCTGTAAGGTTATCCCTTCCTCTGCCACCAATCTCTCCAGCAGCTATGGCCCATTCCAGAGGGGCACAGCAAATGCTGGGTAAGAGCTTCATCTGGTGAGCATAGAAACAGGTACAGAGGGCAAAGCATCAAAACGGTGCATGTCCTAGCACACCCTCTGCTAATGAACCTGACTGCTGTGTTTGCTAGTGGAGACAGCGTGGGTCAGTCCTTAAGCATATGCTGCAGCAGCTCATCCTGGAAATACAGCATGCTTGCTCTGAATTCAGTAAACTCCTCTCACCCAGCCCAACTAATGGTGTGAACAGTGAATGGAGTTTATAGCACTCTGTTTTTTTTACTTCCAGTTGTCAGGGGACATTCAAAACACTTGCAAGGCTGAAGAGAGTCTTGATACAAAAGCATTTGCCTTCACAGACAGATCTGCTCTCATGCACTCCTGCCTTCCTGTTCTTGCCTCCCCCACCGTTGGGCGATTCCTCCCCCAGGCCCTGGACTCAGGCAAGCCCTAAGGCAGCTGGGAAGTACATTACTGTGGGGGGAAGCAGAAGCCCCAGTGGGTGTCATCCAGGGAGGTACTGGCTCCCCACTCCTAGCTGTCTTCCTGACTCACACAACAGCTCTGTACAGACCTCACAAAGGAGAGGACTGAGCTTAGTGAAACTTTGCAGAAACTTTGAAGATTTGGGGGTGAGCTGGCCAGCTGTTCTCCTAACACCCACCTTAGGCTGCCCCTCGGTCTGATAGGAGCCACGCACTGACAAATGCTCTTGGTAATAATATCACACAGAAGTCCACTGAGATGAGCATGGGATTTTTATGCATATACCTAAACCACAAGAAAAGGAACAAAAACCCCTGCCATTTTTCTACCACTACCTGGCTTGAAGCCTGGAAGAGGGACCCACAGTTAATAGGAGTTGGTAGATACCCAATTTGAAAAACAGGGTCAGAGTCACAGGCTGAGGATGTTGCTGGTCATCTATTAACAAGTCTCTGCAGAGCTCTAATGAGCCCTCACCAAAGTGAGAATTTCTATTCCATTCTCTTCTACCCACCTGCCAGTGACACTGATGATTGTGCCTTTCTCCCCTTGAAGTTTCATCTTAAGGCAGGTTTCCATAAATATCTTTCTTGATCATTCTTTCCTCATCAGGTGGGTGAACTGAGAGAATCCTCCTTCTTCATGTGGGGGCAGAGAAAGATTTTCCACTGCAGTTTCTCATTTGCCATGAAGCGAAGGCGGCAGCTCCAGCTCCATTTTTCTCAGTGGTTCAGTACAAGGGCTCCCACCTATCCCACACACCACAGAAGTGCCTCGGCAGTTCCTCACAGCCCAGGTAGAACCAAATCCCCTCTGATCCTCTGCACCCTTCTCTTGGCACTACTTATGGTCTTGCCCCACCGCTGGCAGCGTGGTGCCACCTTTGCCCCCTGAGGCTATTCTGCATGCAAACCTTGACAAGGTTATTTTTTTTTTTCTTTTACTCTTCCATGGGAGCCAGGATCCAGCCTTTTCTGCCTACGCAGCCAAAATTCACCAAGGTCACCTTCATCCCCCTCAGCTAACATGACTCGCTTTGCTGACTTCCTGACAGGGAAAGAAGTTTCCCATTTCTGATGTACTGACAGTTCTTTAAGGGTGAGAAGGACTCTTGAGGTGACAGACTGCCCTTTGCAGCCGCTCCCTACTGGGAACGGGAAGACCGGTGGCTTTGGCCAGTAGACTACAGCTGCTCCCACAAGCAGGACTAGGAGGACAAGGGCAAGGTGTTGTACAGCTGGAACCTCTCCAGCTCCCAGCAGTTTCTCCGATCTGGAGACCACACTGCTGCAATACCAGATGGATTCAGCTCCAGCCTGCCTCCCAAAGAAGCAGCTGCAAAGAAACTTTTGCTCTTGCCGAGGCCCTGGTGCAGATGCAACCTTAGCCCAGGCAGGAGCGAAACGCCGTTCTCCTGCGAAGCGGCTCCCAAGGAGCGAGGGGTCCACCTAGTGCGGTTGGTCAGTACTGCCAGAACCGCCGGCAGGGCGAGACACGCACGCCTCCGCTGTCAGCCCAGCAACGCTGCCCGGGACCCAAAGCCTCACCCTCCGTATAGTCCCCGGGAGGAAGGGGCAGAGTCTCCGAGGGGGGCGATACTCCACATGGACAACACTTGCTTGACTTCATCAATGTACAGTGATTGAAGGCAGGTGGAACCTGGCCAGATTGAACAGACATTCATATTTAGTAAACCCAGTAACCCAAGATGAAGACTGGATGCTTACAGGGGCTGAAGGCAGGCTTTAGTGTAGGGAGAAAAAGCCTTGATAGCTGCTGGTTTGCTACCTCCCCAGCTCATTTGTTACCTCCCATAAAATATCCCAAGAGCCTTGACCAAGGTCAGACTGTACGAAATGGATCCAGAATGGATCTGTATTTCCTGGTTCAGAAAGCAATTCCTCCTGCCAACTTCCATTGCTCAGTTATCCCACCTGAACAAAACCGAGTTTATCTAATATATTCTACTTAAACAAGCTTTTAGGTCTATACACTTTTCAAAGGCAGCTCTGGCTGACATCACATTGAAGACCTGGGAGCATAAGGGTAGGGCCAAAACAGTCTGCAGGGGTTTAGACATGTCTTTTAATTGCATCCCTTTACTTCCCACTACGAAGCAGGACAGCACTACATCCAGCCCCCTCCAACAGCAACATAACCAGGTAGAACTTGTTGACTGCAGGAAACTGAAATGGAAAGGGCTTAACCAGAAGATCTGCTGCTCCAAATCCTGTTCACATTCCCCACGTGACAAAGTCTGAGTGGATCACATATGAACTCCTATTAACATCTATATATGAAACTGAAGCAAGCTGGTCATCAATTCTCTGAGCACTAGAAATCAACAGTCCAAGCAGTGCTGTACATATGCACTGCTCATTAGTTTAGAGAAGCATTTGTGAAGTTTAAAAACAAAGAAGCCTGCGGCATGGAGTCTTAAAAAGCTCATGGTCTGCTATAAGCAGCTTCCTTGAGACCAAAGTCATGCAGTGTTCCCACACTCATGAAAGATTTGAGTCTTTGACAATTTAGTTACGATTAGATAGAGGAAAAGAGGGAACAAAAATAGCTTTTCCATCTCTCCTTTCACCCAGAAGCAGGTGAATCACTTTGATTTAACAGATATCTAGTAGTATATAAAAAAACTACAGAAAAGAACTAATCAAAAGGATGTTATTCTAGAAACTTCTAGATGTCCCATTCTCTGTGAGTTTCAGAAAGGTGCGGTGCTATTTCATCCTTTCACCAAACCAGACACAAGTTAGACAGAGTCAGCAGTGAAGTGAGTTATGGAAGAGCCTCAGACAACTAAGTCAAAAGGACTTGAAGGCCTTTAAGTAGTAATCCATATACTCCTCTGCCTGTTGTCACCTGAACTTCCCTTCCTGCTAGCAAGGGAAGGCAGCAGACACATTACGAAACCTAAGAGTCTGTATGACCTAAAATTCCAAGTCAGGTTTAGGAACAGACTAAAATAGCACTGGGAGACACAGGGCTGTGTATTTTATTTTTATAGATATACACAAGATTTCTCTTTTTTAAAATAAAAATGTTAGTAATTCTTCCTAGTTCCATTTTTACAACTTGACTTACTCTGAGCAAGTAAAAACTTTTGTCCCAGGGAGCAATGAGAAAACCACTCATTTTTTGGTTCCCTGGACCAAGAGCAGCCTGCTGGGTAAGAGCGCGGCGAAGCATCTGAAAGCCCATCATGAGCTGGGGAGTGGAGAGCCAGCAACAGTGGGAGGTGTACGAGAGAAGGCTCCAAGTCCCACTGAGACAAGGGATAAGCAGCAGTAACCTGAACAAACCCAGAATTCCAACCATGTGGGAATGCATGAGCAATACCAATCAATCTCAAAACCTTTTTTTTTTTAGTAAGAACTTCCAGTGAACACACACACACACACACGTACACAGCCACCTCTTGCAGAGACAAGCAGTTGAGCAGTTCCACATTCAGGACAGGGCAGGCGAGTCAGCACCACCTGGCCAGTGGTTCACAAGGTGCTGAGGATGCTCCTGTGTGCATGCTCACAGCTACTTCATGTCTCTGAAGGGAAGGCCAACAAGCCCCAAGGGACAGGCTCAGTGCAGACACACGCAGCTGGAGCCATGTGCAACAGCTGTGCTACAGGGTAAGGGCAATGAGAGGGAGCAGCTGGGAAAACGACAAAAATCCTCTGAAGACTGCCAGGAAATGACTGCAGACAGTGTCCATCCATGTTAAGTCCAGTCAGAATTTGACAGAGAAGGAAGTTCCACATGAACAACCCTTCTCCGCCTGGGGGTTGCTCACCACCTGGAAGGAGCTGCGAATCAACTCCTGGCTGAAGTCCACCATGGAACCTTTCACAAAAGTCAGGCTGTCCACATCCACGACCACACGGGCACCACCTTGCTCAAATACCCTGCAGAAAAGCATCATATTTAACCATTAACTATGCCACACACCCAACAGAAAAGCACAGCCTGAGCACGCAGTTTACCTCACAAGCTTCTTCCCTTCAATGCAAGGTCATGTCATGTGCCCCCTTCCCATCTCCTTTGCAAATAAAGTCACACCTGACCACCACTACACCCCTCTGTCCTTGCCTGTCATCAGGATTGATGACTGTGTCCAAGGAAAACTTGTACTGGAATCCAGAGCAGCCACCTCCTTCCACCTGCAGCCTGAGAAACTCTGACCCTTCTGTGATCTCCAGCAGCCTCTGCAAAGAGGGAAAGAAAGAGGATGAGAAGACAGAAACCAACCAGAAGACACTCACACACCTCTCCTGTGCGCCCAGGACAGGCCAGTCAGTTTGGGAATCCCGCCCAGAGGCACCCGAGCCACCTCCCGGGGTCCCGACCTTCACGCAGCTCTCGCTGAGGAAGACCTGTCCCTCGCTGGGCTCGCTCTGCGTTGGGCCCGCCTGGGAGAAGGACGATGCCCACCGCAGCGGCCG